ATCTTCGTTTTCTTCCTTTTTCCATGTCTCCAGATCTAATTAGTGTGTAATTGGAATCTCAAGAAGTTGGAGTGGGCTCTCTGTGACATACGCTAGCGGGCCCTTGAACTTGGATAGGAAACAATGACATCGTTACTTTCATAAGCACCTAATTGCATTTAGTACCTTTTTAATTTTGGCTGTAGGAACACACACACACACACACACACACACACACACACGTGCACATGCACAAAAGCATTCTCTAGTGCCTCTGACTTGCATCTCAGTCAACTACTTCATTGGCCACACTGAGCTCCACAGTGAAGCTGAGCAGTCACTTGTGCAACAGCAAAGGTAAATGTAAACATAAACAGCAGCGGTATTTGAGGAGCCGGTGTCTCTATCGTATGTTGTCCAGATAATGCACTTCCGGATAGAGGCGGTTCACCAGAAGAGCCAGGAAGCTTTTCCCGTCGTGGAGGCAATGGCCAGGGTGCTTTATGAATTGTGCCGCTTGAGAGATCTGCTCCTGGTATTCAACATACTGCTTACTTATTGTCAAAGATTCAAGCACGCTCAGAGCCTAAAAGACAGGGAAGGCAAGAGGCTTAACCACCTGGATGCTTGTACGGTGAGTCCAGCAGGTATGGCACACCTACCGTTGTCATCTCGTACAACCATGGACCTCTGGGGAAGCTACAGAACTGAAATCAGAAGTCCCAACACAGGCACTGATTAACCACAAACAAAAGGAGGCCGGCTGCTCCAGCTTCTGGGCTTCTGCCATGTCTACACACAGCCTCCCCTCTTCCTGGCCTGCACTGCTGCACAGCCCTTCCCCACAGAGAGCCACGGCCGCAGCCACCTGGCCTGCTGCCTGTCCCCCACCCTCCAGTGCCAGCAGCGGCGGAGGACACTGACTTCACAACCAGAGACTCATCTGCTGACTTGTGACAGTTCATACATGACACGGGGGTTCAAGCAGCAGTTGTCTAGTCAGTTGGTGACACAAGCCGGGCACTGTAAAAACAGAGATGCTGAGGGAAAACCTGCTGGTTGTACTGCTTAACCTTCGCTCTTAAGAACCAAGATATCACCCTGAACGTGGCTGCCTGAGACACCACAAAGCTAACCACAGAGCGACACATACCACGAACAGAGACACTACTGCAGAGTGCCGGAGCGTGGGCCCCGAGCTGACCTGGTGAGTGAACCCCAATCCTGGCTCCAGCACTCATTAGCTGTGAGATTTGCAGCAAATTACTTAGCTTCTCTCTCTCTCCATTTCCTCATCCATAAAAATGAGGATAATAAAAGTTTCTATGCTACCAGGTGGTTATGAGGATCAGCATCCAGGGATTCCAACGTAGACCAGCCAGAGCCTGGCAGGCAGTAGGCACTCAAGAATGCGCACCATTTTACACTGCACACCTTTGTACCTGGCCAGCCTGGTGACAGGTGACAACAGTGACAGGAATGGGACCTTCCACATTTTAGAACACACTATAACTTCTCACAGCTACCATTCTCTCCATGTTGGGTTATTCCAACAGTGGTCATCCTCCAGACTCACAGAACAGGAACCATTTTCTTGGTTCAAGTGACAGCTCAGCTAACCCCCATCACTTCAGCCATGGTCCCTCCTCGGTGCCAGGCCTCAGCCCCCAAGTTCTATCCCAGACAGGCCTGCCTACACCTTGCTTCTTCCACATGGTGGTAACAGTGCTCCAGGCAGGAACCTTTACAGAACGTGGTAGAAAATCTGGGGCAGCACACGTGCACCCCTTTTCCAACAGGTAGAGCACTAAGGGCGTGCTGGGCTCCTGCAGCCATCACACCAGCGGTGTAAAGACCACAGCGCCACCTCCCCACCTCCCCGCCTGGCGGAAAACACCTGCCCTTTCACTGAAAGCTGCTTTCACTGACCTGCTGAGCTTTCAGGGTGAGGTATAACTCAGAGCCAGGCTTCAACCGGATCTGATCCTCCACAGGAACCTGAACAGAAAGGAAGGCGGCCATGCCTCGGGCAACCACGCGGAACCTTGGGCGTAGGGAGAGGTCAGAAGTCAATGACTACTGAAATAACCATTTAAAAACAAATAACATATTTTCTATTAAAAATCAAGACTAACACATTTCTGGACCTACTGTTGTTTTCAGCCTCTTCAGGAAACTCTTAAATATGATTAAGAAGGAGCCTTAGTCTTCCCTTCCACTATCACTGCCCAAACAATGTAGGCATAATTCAGACCAGGAATGAAAGTGTTGGCAAGATGCAGAAGAGCTGGAACTCTGACAGGGCTGGTGGGGATGTAAAGAATGGTGCAGGTGCTGTGAGAAATGCTGTGGGAAAGTTTGGTGGGTCCTCAATAACAAACACAGCGTACCAATATGGCCCAGCAATTCCACTCCTGGGAACATACACCCAAGTGAATCTAAAAGGAGTGCTTGTTCTAACAAAAACTTGTAAACAAATTTCAGAGCAGCATTATTCATGATAGCTGAAAGATAGAAAAACCCAAATGCCTATCAACTGATGAATGGATAAACAAAACCTGGTGGTGTGTATCCACACAATGGAATATTATTCAGTCCCAAAAAGGAATGAAGCACTGATACATGCTAAACTATGGATGAGCCTTGAATGTTATGCTAAGGGGGAAAAGCTAGACACGAGGCCACTATACAATTCCATTTACATGAACGCGCAGAATAGGACACACACAGGGACTAATAGGGAGTGATTGCTTACTGGACTGCCATTTGAGATGATGAAAATATTCTGAAACTAGATTAGCAGTGATGGTTGCAACAACATTGTGAATATACTAAATGTCACTGAATCATACGTTTTTAAATGGTTACCACGATAAATTTTATGTTATGTGTGTTTCACCAGAATTTAAGCGAATCAGAATCACACGGTCTGATAAACTCTATCACAAGCAAAGAAACAGGATGCTAACTGGTTTGGATTAAGTGGTCCCCAAAGTAGCAACAACAGGATGAGCTAGTCCGCAAGAATGCTGACGTCAGAATGGAATGAGAACTCTTCCCAGCACCGATAAGGGCTTTGAAGAAAAACCAGCATGAGGTACGTATTAGGAGATAAAATGGGAGGCTAATGCAAATTCTTTCAGACCTTGGACTTTTTAGCAGCAAAAGTCTAGATTTGTTTCTCACTGCTTATCCTTCTTCTCAGTTAACTTTAACTCATCCTGAGTTAACAGCCCTAGCAGAGGGGTCCCTGCTGGGACCAGGATTATCCTGAAAGTGCACTCAGTGAGGCAGCTGACAGGGCATTTTAACCTAATCCCACAAACTATCACGGGCTTCAAGGCAAGAAGAAATCAGCAGTGTGGTCAGGTTACAAAGTCAAAATACAACAAGAGACATTACTTTAAAAAAAAAATTCTTTGAACATAAAACCAAAATTGTTTTAAAATGAGAAAAATATAAACATGATTTTAAAATCAGGAGATGTGACCAGGCCTTGATCATTTTCCCTTAGTCTCTGAGGGAAACCTAGTCCCTTAAGTCAAAAACCTACTCATGTCTCACAACCCTGGGTGCGTGCTGACGCCGAGGCCACTCAGAGAGCAGCGCAGGCACTTCCTCACCTGTTAGACAGGGGCGACTTCCGGCCAAAGCCAATCGCCCCCAGGATACCCGAGCTGAGCCTCTCCTCGGCCAACAGGCTCTGCCTGCTCTGCAGCAGGAGCAGGATTCGAATGACCGATTCGGTCAGGACCGAGTCGTTCTGCTCCGTCTGAATCAGGGACAGCTGCAGGACTTGGTGCCACCACAGAAACAGCTTTGCCTCTTCCTGCGCAGACCTGGCGGGAGGCCAGGAGGAAAGAACATCAGAAGGGGATTTTTTCTACTCCCACTTAACTGAAAGTCCACCTGTGAGTTTTAAGTTCAAGGGGCATTTAGTACTTCTAAAGCTTAAGCTAACGAGTAACAATGTTAACAAAGTCAGGGACCGTAACAGCTACCATTTATTAAATACTTGCCGCATGCCAGACACTGTGCGTGAGCTTTATGTTCCTTCACTGAATCCTCACAACAACCCTATTAGGTAAACGCTGTTATCCCTACTGAACCGATGAGGAAGCTAAAGGCTGGTGTTTCAACATGTCTGTTTTAGGACATAAAAATCCTGCTCAGAAAATTAGCCCAGGCAAGTAAAAATCTTTCTAAAACAAGTGTTCCTGTATCTCATAGCCTTGCTTGTTTCTGTTTCACTTGGTTCTGTGAACTTAAATGAACACTGACTTCAACCCTACATTCCAAGTGACCAAACCCAATGAGTCTGACCAGCAGCCAGAGGGCCAACCCACCTGGGATACACCTGTTCCAACCACTTGCTTAGGAGGAGCAGCACTTTCATTTCGTTCCTCAGCGTCTGCTCGCTATTGAGACACTGCAGCAGGTAGACATAGAGGGTCAAGTAACTGCCGAGGGACAGGCACTCCTGCAGAAACTCTTCTATGGTGAGCTCAGGAACTTGAAGGGACACCAGGATGGGGCCCCATCCTACAATCTGATGGAGGGAGCCTACAAAAAGAACACCAAGGGGAGAGTGCAGGTCAACGCCAGATTCAAATGACGGAACTACTCCAGTGAGTCTCTTCCCTTTAAGCTTCACGTCTAGAAGACACTGCCCACTGTGGCGCTAGAGCCACAACAGCGAAACGGGCCTGAGCTAAGACTGGAAAGCCGGCCTGCTAAATGCCCGTGCCTGGCCAGCCACCAGAGAGGGCCAAGAAATCAGAATCCGGTGCTGCATTTTTATAAACCACCTTTCTCATCTTAAGGGAGATTATTACTATTCTATCCATCATATTTTTTACTCATGCTTAGTTTGACTCATATCTCAACAGAAATCCTTCAAAATGTTTCAAAAATGAAAAAAAAAGCATTTTTATTTTAGTACACAAATGATTTGGAGCCGGGATGGCATCCTAATGGTTGTTAATTCTTTGGGGGGAATTAGCATGGGGTGACATGGTGATGTGCATACCACCTCCCATGGGGGTTCACGGGTTGTCAAAAAGGGCAGAATACAGCTCTTCCTGGCATTCTCCCTCTGTCCTATCCATTCTCCCTCCCTCCTATCTCGCCTACGTGCACACCACGGTGTGCATCTGGGTATGAGTGGAGAGGTGCTCTCTGCAACTCTTCTTAACCAGACCAGGTTGTTTCTAGAATGTGACAGAGATAGAGAATGACAAAGGTAAAAGGAAAGTGGTGGTGGTGTGGGGAGAAGTGAGGGTGACCTCTTCATAATAGTTTAAGAGATGCAACAAAAAAACAATAAAAGGAGTCCTATGAAAACTCACTTTAACAAGTCACAAAATAGAGGAAATTAATATGGTGGGTCATTATTATATAGATTCTGGTTTATAGCACTTTCTTGGAGGACTATGTTTGGGTCTGTGACACACACGATGTGTCTATCATGAAATTCCCTCCCCTGAAACACGCCTGTACCAACAGACATTGGTCACAGGTTCTCATGCTAAGTGCAGATCTTTATGAGAAAGACCAAAAGCATTCTGAAACATCAACACCTTTACAGAGAGCAGGACATGGCTCCTCACCTTCCCTGAAGTAGGCAGTGATGCAGGCCTCTGTCATCTCGGCCATGTGGCGGACGGAAGCCAGGCTCTGGCAGGTGGCAGTTAAAAGGGGCAGGACCACCAGCCCGTGCACCTTTTGCTCAATCCAGGTCCGGACACTGCCCCGGAGGAACTCCGCCGTCGGAATAGTCGCGTTGTTCATCATCATCAGGACTTCCATGAAGAGGCTGCTGAGGGCCATGTGGCGGGTCTGGCTGTCCACGTCTGAGGGGGACAGGGACACACACTGAGAAAGGCGGCCGGAAGGCGTATGAACGTGACCCAGGGAAACAGTGCTTTCATCTAAGCTGCTCTCTAGGCAGGTTCTACGGTTCTGTGGCTGACCTCAGAGCAGAAAGAAGACTGTGGACCGGACTTCGCTTTTAAGGGCAGAACATAGCACATGAGTGCTTTGTAAGGGCAGGAACTGCTGCAAGGTCCCTGGGTAAGCAGCGTGGCCAAGCAATGCTTTAATAAACAGACATATCAAGCTGGTGTGACAGAGTAACTCACTTATCAGCACATGTTTAATTAGCCATTATTCCCCCAACTTTACTCATTTGGAAAACCAAATGCATAGATCTCAGCTCTCACTGGGTAAACTAATTAGAAATAGTACCGCCTGCAATGCCAAAGCTGTCAATTCTACAGGGATTTACACAGAGTAGTTGTAGTTTAAAATGAAATACAAAAGGAGGGAAAAACCTTTAAAAAAATAACCTCCTAATAGCAGATCTTCTATTTATTTGCTTTTTTGAATAATAAAAATAGGCTGGTAATACAAATGGCTCTCAAAAATATTAAGATGCAAAAAGAGAATAGTACACAAGAAAAAGAGCAAATTCATTTTACAAGATAACTGCCAATGAGGCGGTTACTAAGGTAGACTTCTTTTTTACATTAAAAAATAGATGGAGAAAATATTCATTAGGTACAGTCTTTGCCATTTCTAGCTCCTGGAGTTGGGAACACACTTTTGTACCTGATAGACTTGTGGCTTTCTCACACCACGGCTTCAGTGTTTATGTCAATGGGAGTAGGGAGAGCTTACTCACCACACCCATCCAGCCAAATTCACCCACTTGCACAACGTTAAATAAACCCTAATTTAATGTCACTATAAGACCTACTTATCATCAAGCAAGGACTTTAAAGGCTTATCTCTGAATTTCATCTGAACGGCAATTTTAATTTACCTTTTAATTATGACTCATGGGAATAAAAAATGACTGCAATAAGCCTCCTAACAGATCTCAGCCTCTCCCCTTCTATTAGTCATCAACTGAGACAACAAACACTTTCGTAAAAATGAGATGTGATCCCATCATTCTTCCGATTAAGATCTTTCTAGAATACCTTTCTCTTCTTTGCCTGGTAAGCTGTTATTCAAACTTCATGGCCCAATCACAGGATCACCTCTAAAACAGCTTCTCCAGTACTGCTTTCTAAATTCCCTTTCTTTCCTTTAACAGTCTCTGAATGTTGTGGCTTGCAAGTTGGTGTTAAATGCTAGGTGCATCATCTTATTCCATACCTACAGGATCTACCAGGTTTATTGGTTAATAATGCGGATTTTTTCAGTAGATGGAGTTACACATATGTTGATATATATGCGATTTGATATGTATGCTATTTTGTTGTATTGACAACAAGCTTCAAAACTTCATATGTCAAATTTTCTGAAGGTGTTAACATCATAGATGTTTTTACACTTAAAAATGTCGAATTTCATGCCAAAAAAAAGAGCATTTGCGGGAAGTTTTAATTCATTACTTTATTTTGAAGAAAAGTGCTGCTGAAAGTTATGGTATACTTGGGGAAGCTTATGGTGAACATGCTGCATCTCAAGATACTTGTGCAAAAGTCATCAGTAAAATGTTGCTTCAAAGGCACGAAAAAAAGTCTTTTTTGCATCGAATTGTGACTGACGATGAAAAGTGGATTTATTTTGAGGATCCCAAATGCACAAAATCATGGGTTGATCCAGGTCAACCATCAACATCAACTGCAAGGCCAAATCATTTCGGAAAGAAGACAATGCTCTGCGTTTGGTGGGATAGGAAGGTGTGGTGTATTATGAGCATCTAAAACCAGGTGAAAGCGCTAATACTGATCGCTACCGACAACAGATAATCAAATTGAACCACGTTTTGATTGCAAAACGACCAGAATGGGCCAGAAGACACCGCAAAGTAATTTTGCTTCATGATAACGCATCATTACACACTTCAAAACCAGTTAAAGACACATTAAAAGATCTTGCCTGGGAAGTATTAACCCACCCGCTGTATTCATCAGACCTTGCTCCTTCAGATTGCCACTTGTTCCGATCGATGGCACATGTACTTCGTGAGTAGCACTTCAAAACATACGAAGAATTGGAAAATTGGATCTCTGAATGGTTTGCCTCAAAACAAGAAAAGTTCTATTGGGACGGTATCCACAAATTATCTGAAAGATGGGGGAATGTGTAGCTAGCCATAGACATTACTTTGAATAAAGCACTTTTGATGTTTCTCTTGAAATTGTCATGTTTTCTTTGATCACAAAATCCGCATTATTAACCGGTAGACCTGGTATATGAAACAGGTACATCATTCACTATATGCCAGAACATCCAGACTTCCTATAGTCTTACTTATTGTCTATTTGACCTATCAATTACTGTGAAGCATGTGTCAAAATCTCTCACTATAAGTGAGTATGACATTTCTCTTCCCGGTTCTGTCAATTTTCACTTCATGCGTTTGCCTCTGATTCTCTGGAAACAGAAATGACTGTATCTTGTCCATCTTTCTGATGTCACAATGCCTTACAGACAACAGGAATTCATTTACTGAATAAATACAACAATCTTCCGGTGGTCACTTACCAGGCAGGTTAAAGACAATGATATCATCTAAGAGCTTAGACATTTCCTGTTCTAGGATGGCTAGGGTGATTTTTCCATTTTGTTCCAGGGAGCTGAGGAATTGAACCATCTGATGAATGAAGGCTCGGCATTTTGGAACTGCATCCTGACAATAAAACAAAGAATCATTCAAATGAATCCATGCAAGCTGTGTGAATGGAGGAAGCCACGCAGCAGGGGTGTCTAAGGGCCCTGTGTCTGGGGACATGCAAATCTGTGGTAACACTTAGACTAGGGCAGTGATGGCGAACCTATGACACGTGTGTCAGAGGTGACACGCAAACTCATTTTTTTGGTTGATTTTTCTTTGTTAAGTGGCATTTAAATATATAAAATAAATATCAAAAATATAAGTCTTTGTTTTACTATGGTTGCAAATATCAAAAAATTACTAGATGTGACATGGCACCAGAGTTAAGTTAGGGTTTTTCAAAATGCTGACACGCCAAGCTCAAAAGGTTCGCCATCACTGGACTAGGGCCTATATTCCCCCAAATTCCTGTAGATCACTCTTCCTTTTTTACTATATTAAAACATTAACTACACACTAATTACTGGCCAGGAGCTTTTCCAAAATTTTTTATGTTCGTTATTTAATTTAATCCTCACAACACTTTGAGGCAAGGTATTATTTCCAATTCAGATGAGAAAACCAAGATCAGAATGACAGTGAGTTTGGGACCAAACTTATTATTTCCCTGACATTCTGCTGCCAATGACATTCAGACCACTAAGCCATAATCCTTTTGGCCTCTTGTGAGCATGTGACACTGCTAGCAAGTAAAGGCTTACCAAAACGAAAAGATCCAAGAGGCCAAAATATGAGCACACGTGCTCAGCACCCTCCCACTCTCTCAGATGGGCTGTCACAGAGCTCAAGGCTGTCCTCCGCAGCACTCAAGCCATCGCCAGCCCTGAGGAACACTCTGCCTTTTAAAGCACCCCCTCAACTTACAAGATGTTTCTGGCTGTCGGTAGGAATAGAGAGGCCCGCAGCCACTTTTAGGAGCTTCACGATTAATTCAGCAGAAGATTCCTTAGCCAGGAGGATGGAGGGCTGGTAGTGGCTGCTGAAATAACCTAGCACACTCTGGTACGACACCATATCCACAAGATGCCATGAAAGGGAGCTCGTCTGCCCCAGGAGACTAAGTAGAGGCGAGTCCTGAAAACGAAACACACAGTTCTTTATTTCCAGAGCTCCCACTTTCCAGAAACATGTGTTTCTAATTAGTCTCAGAAGTGACCACTAAGAGGGCCTATTTGAAAACACAGAACAGTTAAGATATCAGATAAGTATCTACTCAAGTTAGTAGCACTAGTGAAAGTAACAGCCAAAGTTGGGGCAAAAATACAAGATCTGTAAGCATTCAGAACCCAATTTTCAAAGGGATTCTCTGATCTGGTGTTAGAATTAGCAATTAATGAGATGTAAAATAACATTACTTTTTATATTCTGACTCAGTGTAGTTCCCTTCACAATTTTTGGATTACGGATTATCCAAGAAAATTGGGCATCCCATGTGCCGAGCACAGTCACAGGGAGAAAGACATCAGGGCAACAACTGACAAATGACAGCTTCATCGAGAGTCAGGATCTGGGGGACGGCCAAGCTGTATCCCAGGTCTCCAAACTTACCGGCTGGTCAACCAGCTGGTCTTCCTTTGCCAATAAAATCATCATGAAAAGGAGGCAGACAACCATGCTCCGGGTCTCCGGGAGGGGACTGGGACTCCAGGCATCAGAGAGCACACTGACCCAGTTCACTTCACAGAGGACAGACCCCAAAAATAAGAAGCAGCTCTTGGGGCTTCCACGTTCCACCTGAAAGAAAACAAATTAAAACCACTGTTTTGCTTTAAGCTATCTATGTATCCTGGAAATGTGTATAAATTGATGTTTACTCAATTATATTTTTAAAAATAACATCTTTTTCCAAATTATAGAAGTCACCCATAATCCTGTCGCCCAGAGTTTTAGCGTTGACAATCTTTCCTTCCACATGCAGTGAGTGTACAGTCTGCAGCTTGTTTGGAGTTCACTGCTGCTTCTACTGCTTCTCAATAGGAGAGGAAAGCACGTCCCTAGCTCTCACAC